CCCCAAAACCCCAAAACCCCAAAACCCCAAAACCCCGAGTAATAGTATTTATTGATAGGTATAATAATTAAGTTAACAAATCTAATGATTAATAGTCTTAAAAGCCAAACCGAATTCGCTCATATTGATGAAGCTGGTTACTTCTTCACCAGAGACACAGAAGTGTTGTTCCCAGGAAGTGTCTTTGAAGGTGCAGCATCCAACTGTATCACACAGGTAAGCTAACATGCCATGCTTGAAACCTCTGGTACATATCTTAAGCCGCCAAGGATACCGTGGAGGATATTAATCTTTCTTACTTTTAAAGTTGATCTAACCTTGTTGTAGGATGCGCTCACTAAAGATTTCAGTCTATTTGATTCTGAAGAAAGGCAGGCTTGATTTTCCACTGCAAAGCACCCAGAGCCGCCCATTTCAACGAAAGCATCTGTGGGTGGAGATGATCTCCATGATCACCAAGTTGGAAAGCTAGAAGCTGATTGCAACATTTTATGTATCTCTAAAATCAGCGAAGATCCTCAGAGAAACAAATTTAAATCAGCCCAAAATTCTGAAGAGAACAAGGAGGACATAAGTTGCCACCAAGTCAATGCTCAGTATGCCTCTGGTTCTAGTTGCTCTTCTCGTAGAAGAACTAAGACATCCTCCTCAGGAAGAAGCGATGTTGAGTTCAAGGCAGCTCTGAGACTTATCAAAAGATTCTTTAAAAATGTCTTCAAGTCTAAGAATACTGAAATTATTAGAAGAAGGTATATTAACTGAGATATGGAAGAAGTCCAATCCCAGATGAAAATACTACTTTGTGAGATCTTTCCTCAAGAAGAACTCACAGAAGAGCTTGTGAACTACACTATTGGTGTTGTTAATCCCAAGTGGGGATCAAGACTTGATTGAAGTAAAGAAGCTCATGATGAAATTTCCAAGTTCCATACATGTTGTCAGACATTTTCAAAGAAGAAATTCAGTGCTCTTCTTGAATCTCAAAATTTCAGAGTTCTCTGTAGCTATCCGACCCAGAAATTGGATGATCCTCGTATTAGAGTCATCAAGCAAGAACTTGAGCAAAGTTCAACTTAATAGAGGCAGAACAGGAAGCATTCACTAATCTAATTTTAATAAACTTTACTCAAACAAAGTTCTTCGAGTTTTAATTTTTATGAGATTTCAGTGCATCTCTTTTGGTCTTTCTGAAAGTTCTCATAGTCTGCACCAATCCTGTCAAATGCTAAAGGAATCATTATATAAACGCCAGTCTGCTCAAGGTCTTCTTAAAAGAGTGGGATTTAGCTGCGTCATAAACCTACTTTATTGCCATCCAGTCATATTTTAATTAAAAACAGGAAATCTAGAATTAAACACTATTTTTAAGAGAAAGCACTTGTTCTTTTAGCTTTGCAAAGGACTTTAGCTATTCCAAAGAGCTTTCTTCTTTGAAAGAATGCATCAGAGTTACTTCAAAATGTCTGAAGCTTTAAGATGATGGTATCAGAGTAGCATACGAAGGTACTATAAAGTTCTATTTTAGCATCAATATTCACTTCCATCGATCAGATAACAAAAATCCAAGTCTTAACTTGTCCTAACTAGGTTTATTAGCCCTCAGTTTCTTTATCAAGATTTCCTCCATTCAGAAAATTCTTAAGAGAAAATATAAACCCAGTAATTTAATATTGACAGAATTTATGAAATAAGAGCGCGGTGGGAAACCAGCTGACACTCCAAAAAGATTTTGCTTAAAAGCCTCTTAAGCAGGTGGAAGCTATTGCTGTAGACTCAGACATCAGAGAAACTCTCTTTGGCACTATCTCCCGACTCTGAGGCTAACTTCTCACAGGAAAACAGTGTACTTGTAGTTTGGTTTTCTGATGTTCGTTCTGAGGTTCTGATGTTCTACAAATTTATGTACTATGGGTAACCACCCACTCCATCCACGGTGACTCAAATGTTATGGATATGCATCAAATCTAATAAAAGCTGCCATATTCAGGCTTAGTGGCTCTATTTCTGTAGTTTGGCTGCAACTGATATGCTGAAATTCAGTCAGGGTAATCGATGAAATATGTGTTATGAAAACCCGATTAAAGCATACTAGTAATCTTGCGAATCGTCATTGAATTTTTCTAATGGGCTGTAAATGAAGAGCACCGTATATGGATTTAGCCATCCCAAGCTCAGGTGTTAGCAACTTTTAGGAAGCCAGGTATCCTGCGGTTTAATGCTTATTTGGCTTATCACCCAAAAATTCAATAACTTGTGCATGAAAATTCTGAAACAACCAAAGCACTTTGAAAATGGAGGTACTTCAGCAGCTGTGTACGAACTGAAACATCAAGCTAGGCTAACGCTATAAGTCTGTTTCAACATGTCTATTCAGATTAGGGATGCGCCAGCTCCATCTGTTCAGTTATACTAGCCTTGAAGGATTAAATGAATTTGAAGAGTTTTTACAATAGTCCCAAATCCCTAATCAATAGATTTTTCAAAAGCGTTTGCAGTCAGAATTGGCCTAGTAACAGGGTTTAGAGAGCATCTAGTCGAATTCAATCAATTAGATGGCCAGAAATCTTCCAACTTTGAAAATCGGGCAACATTAGAAAGAATTTATGGAAGTAATATTAATAGGATTTCGGTTCTAAGATCTTTTAAGAGAAGCCTCTATTGCTCTTCAGCATCCAAGGTGTTTTTAGACTGCCTTAGTAACTTAAAATTTGAAGGATTCAGACTACTAAGGCTAAGGGGCTAAGATATTTCTTAGTTTTTAGTATTCAAATGCTCCAAAATACTGACTCTGGGCGAATAAGTTAATCAAAAGGAGGCCTATCGCAAGCCTGGAGACTTAGGAGTGGGCCAATGTATTTTCCATTTTCAGACGATTTTAGATTCGAGAGATAAGCCATGGTGTAAGTTGCTAAAAAGTATGATTTGTACATAGTAATTTGGTTCAAGCTCTCGTTCACCGCCCGGGGTTTTGGGGTTTTGGGGTTTTGGGG